TCTGGTCTTGGTCTTGTCTTGGTCTCGATACCCTCTGGTCTTGGTCTTGTCTTGGTCTCGGTTTAGGCTGGTCTTGGTCTTGTCTTGGTCTCGGATTAGGCGGTCTTGACTACAAGTCTACCTCCAACCAAGCACTTTGCTCTCCAACATGTCCCTTTCTGTTGTTGGCTATATATTTCTCTAGACTGTATATACATCTTTTTGTTGCGCTTTATTCCTGATATCTCTACTATTTTTTTTTTCCACTCCCAGGCGCGTGGCCCCGGCGGGCGCGTGGCCCCGGTGGGCGCATGGCGCACCCATAATTTCTTTGTACATGTACAATGACAATAAAAGGCTATTCTATTCTTAATGCTGACTCGCAGTCACTTCAGTCACTTGCTTCCTGTGGTCTCTAGCTGCCACATCGCTACATCGTGTGTACATAGCTTTAGAGTATAACTTTATAGCACTCTATACAAGAGACATACAAACAAACATCACACACGTACCTGCCACGGTCATTGAGTGCAAACACCAGTAAAAAGCCTTCTCCAGACCGCATGTACTGCTCCCTCATCGCACCAAACTCCTCCTGACCTGCTGTATCCAAGACTGATGCACACAGAGACATGATCACATATACACATAAATACAAAACATACATAGTATTCACAGACATACACTATATTATTGCCAAAAGTATTCACTCACCCATCCAAATCATTGGTACAATCACTTCTACAGCCTCAGGTGTATAAAACCCAACATGCTGAGCACTTCTACGGACACTTTGTGAAAGGATGGGTTGCTCTCAGGAGTTCACTGAATTTCACCGTGATTTAAGCACTTTGAAGCAACTGTTGTATAGATAACTGGCGCTATAGAAAAGACATTGAACTGAACTGAAGTGGTGAAATTTTCTGGCTGCTAAATGTTCTACAGTGACATGGTATTATAGTGTGATGGCTGCAGTTACAGCCACACGTGGGAATATCTGCCAAACAGTGTAGAGGCTTACACGTAACACTACACCTACACTTTTCTTTCTTTAAATACAGGATTTAATTTACAGCATAATAAAGAATTTGTTTTGATTTAGAACTAATGTACATACAGAACACTGCATTCTAAAACAAGTGTGCACATTCTAGTTTACACTGTTGTGTCTTTATGATTTAATCTGTCTTTGTTTGCTCAGTTACCTCAGCTGCTCCCAGTCCCTCAGTGATGAACTAATAGGTGGAAAATGGTAAATGGCCTGCATTTGTATAGCGCTTTTCTAGTCCCTAAGGACCCCAAAGCGCTTTACACTACATTCAGTCATTCACCCATTCACGCACACATTCACACACTGGTGATGGCAGCTACATTGTAGCCACAGCCGCCCTGGGGCGGAAAAGGGGCGGAGCAAGCCTATATGGAGACCTGCCACCTGAGCTACAGCCACCACCAGGGGCGGAAAAGGGGCGGAGCAAGCCTATATGGAGACCTGCAAATTGGGCCATACCACAACTCTGGATCATGGGGGGGATGGGATTTGTTATGTTAGTTTCAGTTGGGTATTTGTGTGTTCTACCCCTTTTTGCGTTTTGTGGGCTGATCAGCCACTATTTAAGTTTCACCTGTGTCTCATTTAGGAAGGTCAGCAACTCACACAAAGTGGTGAGTCAGAGCAGGGTCAGCAGATGAGGCCCAACTGCTACAGACCTCCAAACTTCATGTGGCCTTCAGATTAGCTCAAGAACAGCACATACAGAGCTTCATGGAACGCATCCAAGCCTTACATCACCAAGCACATTACAAAACGTGGGATGCAGTGGTATTAAAGCACGCCACTACTGGACTCTAGAGCAGTGGAGACATGTTCTCTGCAATGACTAATCTGGCAAACGTATGAATAAGTCCTGGTTTGGTGGTTACCAGGAGAGCATTACTTAGACTGCATTGTGCCACATGCAAAGTTCGGTGGACTATAGTGTAGGGTTGTTTTTAGAAGCTGGGCTCAGCCCCTTCATTCCAGTGATCTTAATCCTTCAGCATACCAAGCCATTTTGGACAACTTCATGCTCGCAACTTTGTGGGAACAGGTGACAATGGCCCCTCCCAGGGCTGTGCGACATGACCAAAATCTCATATCCCGATATAAAACCTCCATCGTCCCGGTAACGATATAAATCACAAAAAAATAATATTTTCTGTAAATTCTGTGAATCTCGGGTAGAAGTGTTTCCAGCTGGGCGCTGTGTACCCGGAGTCGAGTGTTTTAACCGATGCATGAAACGACACATTTTTAGACACAGGTTGTAACGGCCGCCGTTTTCTTTGTATTCATTACACGGCGTGCTGCGGGGAAAAGCCTGTTCTAACGTTTGAGTCTAAGGTTTATTTTTTAGCACCTGGCGGCTCTTTTGTACTTCTCATCCATAAACACTCTGCATACTTTTTCACGTGATTGCGTTTATTTTGAAAAGTCTCAACAGGATCTTGCGCTTTATTGTGAAAGGTTTATGTGGAAAATAAACAAGCGGACATGCGATGGTTTTACCGTCGTTGTTGCTAACGACAACGCATAAAAACAGGCGCTTGTCCGTCCGTAGTGTGGTTATATTAAATATAAGAGAGAGAGAAAATTAATAATAACTACAGTGACCATCAGAACCATGAATATTGCCGTAAACAGTTTATTTTGCGACACCACGAAACAAACGATAGCGTAAAATGAAACGATAGATGTTTTTATATCGTCAGATATATATTGTCATATCGAACAGCCCTAGCCCCTCCCCATTCCAAGATGACTATGCACCAGTCACAAAGTAAGTTATTGCATTACACGGATGGAAGAACGTGACTGGCCTGCAAAGAGTCCTGACCTCAATGCGAGGGAACACCTTTGGGATGAATTAGCAGAGACTGTGAGCCAACATCAGTGTCTGACCTCACAAATGTGCTTCAGGAGCAACGGTCAAAGATTCCCATGAACACACTCCTAACCCTTGTGGAAAGCCTTCCTGTAGCCGCTAACGGTGAGCCGACATCATATTAAAGCCATGGATTAGGAATAGGATGTCCCCCAACTTCGTACACATATGTAGACAGACTAGCAAATAATTTTGCTAATATAGTGTACACATGTCTTGATGCACGCTCAATCATCCAGGTAAATAAGTCTGAAAAGGTTGATTCTGTACATCTGGATGTTTTCAGTGTGAGAAACGTTTCGTCATCATCCAGCTGACGTCTTCAGTCTCAGCTGACGTTAGGTTTCCAACCTTATAAACACCTGGATGAAAACCACCACTGAAAACGTCCAGATGAACAGAATAAACCTTTTCCAAATATAGTGTATACATGGTGACCTATACTGCTAACAGAACATCTGTAACATTAAGCTGAAGTTTCACTTGTTCTGTGTCATAAAAATCACCCACTAAGGAAACAAGTGTTTTTCTTAGTGGTTTCACTAAAACCGAATCTCTACTGTTGCATTCACCAAAAAAAATCGCTAAACTGTATCAATTAGGGTAAGTGTGATGTTTGTGAAGGGAAGGGTGAGGAAGAGTCTTACAAACAGCACCTCTGCTGCGTCTGATGATTCACAAATAAGTGGTGAAAGAACAGCGTGGCCCAGCACACCACCCTGACAGCACCAGCCCACTAACAAGTCCTAACAAGGGAAATGAAACATCCAGAGAGCAAACACACTGCCTGTATCACATCACAATGTAACACACCCTTTGTTTTCACACAAAGCTTTTTCCAAACCCTGCAATTACTCTGACACTGTGTGAATTAGGACATGTATATCTCCAGTGTAATGTCTTACTGTCAAGCCGGGTCTCCTTTCCATCCACGGTACAGATCTTGGTGTAGGAGTCTTCAATGGTGGGGTCGTAGTCGGACACAAAGTACGACTGTGGAACACACTCCGAGTTATTAACATCAACACTACACTGTGAACAGCTTGGCTTGTTTTACACCTCTCATAACCAAGCCTAGTGCCTAACAGGCATTTATTTATATTACTCACAGCTGGCGAGAACAAAAGTGACGCAGCAAAAATGATGAAAAGTGCCCAGAGAATTATTAAGTTTAGACTGAATATGTAACCACGTCAGTACTTCTCCTTCAGTGTTCTATAATCCACTATTTACTGCTACAGTGCTCGGTGACTGTACTACAGCCGTTCATTAGGCAGCCAGTTTAATGCAGACCTTTCTGTGTTAAACAGAGTGCAACAAAAGCTTGCCCGAGGTAATGAAGAAACTTACCATACAGTGTGGAAGCAGAAGCACCGACTCAGAACGGAACAATTCCCACGACACATTAACAGAACCGGGGTGGAAGGTAACCAACTTACTGAAGTGCACTGCTAACACGTTTAGAGTTTAAGTATTTAAAAATATTTCAAATAGAAATCTACTGTCACACTATACTGTGTTTCATAGATAACCCCTGTTTCTTTCTCCACCTACTCTCCTGTATGATCAGGAACTGAGCAACCTAAACTTGGCACTCCTGCTCAACTTTGTCCCTGGAGGTTGTGACATCACGATGTTCCCCAGCCGTCATCTAACAGTAACCTGTCGTTTATACCCAGGAAAGTTTACATCCTTCTGTTTCCTCCCTCAGTACATCAGTTTACCAACACCAGGCTAAACACTGTTGCAGCAGTCAAGCACCATCAAGTACAGATACACAAGTTAAATATGAGCAGCTGGGCCGAGGTGGTTTCAGATGCGTAACTAAAGTCTTGACTGCTTTTATTGTGATTCTAACAATGAATGACTTCATCTGGAGGGAGAAGCCTGCTGGTGTTTGTTTTAGTTTAACTGCTGCTCAACAGCTGAATAAGACTTTAGTGGTGAACCATTAACCACCAACAGCTCATCTGTTCCAAATGCAGGTCACTTGTTGAACCTTGACAAGGTTGAGTTCGTGGAAATAACCGCTCAATAACGACCCACCAGTGGATCGACCACCAGTGGATCGACGCATTAACCTACAGACAGGTCCACGGTGTGTTCTACACGTGTTGTGGAGTCAGTACCTGTATGAACTGGATGGTAAGGGCGCTCTTTCCCACTCCTCCTCCCCCCACAACCACCAGTTTGAATCTTTCCTCGTCTCCACTCATTTTCAGTCCGGACCAGAACCTCTCCGAGCTCACCGCAGGACCTCAGGGCGCGTTAAATCCCGGTCTCGCAGCAAGCCTGCTAGCTGTAAGGAGACACCAACATGGACGGTTTTCAAAACTGAAGTTTGGTGTGCGAACGACGGACTCGGGGCCACACCTGTAAAGCAAAGTCCTGACGGAGTCCCACTGTCCACGCAGCACAATAACACGCACCGACGGGTCTGCTTTGAGTTGGGCCTTACAGCGGGACTGTGGCAATCGCCGTCGCCTTTTCTTTTCTTCTTTCGCCTCTTTTCTCGTCGGCCTCCAGTCAGCTTCTGGGCGGAACTGCTTCCTCTTTTCTCTTTCCTCAAGAAACTACAGCAGCAACTACATCACACTGATGTCAGAGGCGGCGGTGACTTTCCCCACGCGAGGACAAACACACGGCAGCCTTCGCCTGCTTCAAATTAAAAACTACTCTGAAACTAATCTTTCGGGTGTCAGCTTCCTTATTCGGTCACCGGAGCATCCGTGACATCATCATTCCTACCTAACGGACGTGCCCGTGCACCGTGAGAACTTACGACACTGATTAAACGGATGTGAAACTTTGTACAAGATGTTATTCGCCCTTTGAAACGGAACCAAACTGCTTTAATAACACAATGAAGCGTCTGAAATTCCAGCGTGGAAAATCCCGAAGGTGTGTTACGGCAAAGTAAACACGCAGTGAAGTGATACTGCTGCAGCCTCACAATGAAAACGGCCTGAAGCAAAGCAGCAACACAACTAAATAGGACATGCTCAATGGTTGCAGTGTTGTTAAAGATGCACAAAGAAGCAACAGCTGAGGGCGCTGAGGTAAAGACCTGGCAGGAAACGGATTTGCACTATGTTAGTTCGCCCAGTTATTTGTGAGCCTCTCAAAGTGGGAACTTGTATAAAAGTGGATGCAGTTCCTGTTCACACTACACTTTTGTTAAAGCCCTCGAATGCAAGCTGAAAGTCTGCCCTTTATCCACATACTTGCTTTTAAACCCACTGTGGTCCGATCTGCTTTGACACGAATATTTGTCCAAATAGTTTTTTAGCAAACCTCCAGTCTTGGCTCACTGTGGCACTTCAAAGCACTGCATGCTTGTGTTTCTATGCAACCCTCTGCTTACTGGGTGGAGAGGCTGGCGAGTCCCTTCACACTGAGAAACAGGCAAACACACATGGTTAAAATGTCCTCTTTATTCGTCAGTAAATACATTACAAACCATTGTGGCAAAAGCCTTTCAACAACTACATTTAAAAACAACAGAAACAGGGATCTCTGTGCAATGATAAACAACAATATGATAAACAACAATATGATAAACAACAATATGATAAACGGGTGCTTTTTGTCTTTTCAGCTCATTTAGATTCAACTCTGCAACAAATAAATAAATAAATAGACATTGGTTCTTTCACTACACGTGCACATCAGCTGTGTAGTTTGGTTTCTTCTGACAAACATGCACAGATAACTCCTTCCACCTGCTTCCTTGTATCCTCAGCACCTGTAAGGCAGTGCGGGCTGTCCCATCTGCACAGGGTGCACAAAAACACCTCCTAGCAGTATCCTTTCCCCCCAACCCAGCAGCTTGTTGAGAGTGACGCTGAAAGGTGAGAGCAGGCCCTTTTCCTTGACCTCAGCTCTGCTGTGCTGGCTGACAGAGAGACGCTGCTTCCTGTGGATAGCCTCTGCCTGCCTGTAGGAGCCAGGGTAACTCTTCACCTCGGCGCGCTCGCCAGTCTTCCTGCTCTCGACCATTTTTTCTTGTTGCCTCTCGTTTGCTGTGGAGGAAGGGCATATTCCCAAAGGGGTCAAAGAGAGGGTAAGGCTTTTACGTTTCTCTAAGAGAGAAGCAGAGCCTGATGGGAGTTGTAGTTGGGTGGCCTTTAGCGTTGGGTTGATGGGCTCACAGGGACGGGAAGCTGAAACCTCCGATGGTTTCTGCACAGGCTGCAGGTCACGACGGGGAGGCAACTCAGGAGTCCACAGTTGCTGCTGCTTGTTGTCAGCGCTCTCTGACAGCCAGCGTCTCTGCTGGGCTTTGTCTTTGTGCTGAGCTGAGTCTGCGGTGACGCTCTTAGCTTGACAGTTACTGTTCTGACTGCTGTGAGAGAGGTTCACACTGTCGTTAGCAGGTGGCAGGCAACTGGCCAGCTGCTGGATGAGGAGGTCGTGGCCACGCGACTTTTGGCTCAGAGCACCCTGCAAGTGCTGCAGCTGACCCAGGAAGTTGAAGTTTGGGGAAATGGAGGGCCGGCGCTCTTTCACAAACCTTATAAGGGGACAGAAAGGATGTGGGTTATTGTTGCTAGTATTTCACACGTCACACTGAGTCTAGGTAGTACTCTGCAATGAGCTACAGGGACAGTTACCACAGTATACAGGCTGTACGACAATAAACAGGAATAACATAGATGCTCATTGGAGTGTACTGAATGTCTCAATGCTTATATAGAGTGCATACATACACTAACTGAGAGCTTTAGCAAGTGTTCAAGCTGCTATAATGTCTTGTAACTTCACAAAGCCTTCTTGTTATTGATCAGGACTGACTACATCTGCTCATGTCCTCTGACAAGCCTAAATGCATCGAGACTCAGAACAGTGGGACAAAGGAGATCTGTCAAGATTAAGACAGGTGCAGATTTACACAGCTGGGAAGGAAACAACTGCAGCCTGCAAGATAAACATTTCCAACAACTGCATGTAAATACTTTGTTAAGGCAGGAATATCTGGATCCTCTGATGTATATCAAAATATGGGTCTTTGAGAGGAGAAGTCCTAAAACATGACTTATGTATACTGGTTCCTTTACAAAGGTGTGCATCCATTGTTCTCTGGAGTTGTTGACTGTTGTAGATAAAAGTGTGAATACCATGTGCTGTGGACTGTTTAGAGAAAGTCTTTCATGGGTAAAAGTCTCCAACTGTCAAGACCACAAATACTTAAACTCATAAGCAGAGTTAACTTCATTTCACCGGAATGGTGAAAGTGCCAGAAAACCTCTGATAGCTGCAAGTTAAATAACTCATGTTCAGCTTTAGAAAGGAAATCAGTAAGGCTTCTTCAGTGTTCTTATGTTATTTGACAAAGTCGAGCTCAGTCCCCTCTGCAGGATGAATTTGTGCTACTAGCCATACCTGTAAGCATGGTCCAGGTCCATTTCCAGACTGTACATGACATAGGCAACAGCCAGAGCTGGGGAGCGGGAGATTCCTGCTGCACAGTGCACCAGCACCGAAGCCCCCGACGACATGGCTACGTCTGAACACACAGTGCATAGTGACAGTCAGCTGAGCGGGACACAGAGCTGCTGTATTGGCTAAAGCTAACCACACTGCAAATTACATGCAATTAAACAAAAATTCAATAATAAATATTTAAAAATTGAAAATAAATATTTAAAAAACAACGTCATGACTTGTGCATGAGGGTTCATAGCCTGCAGCTTCTATCGTATTGCCACTGCTAACTCAACCGACTGCATAGAGCCGTGAATGCAAACGTCTTGCACTGTCACAGAAGTAAAGCATTGTTCAAACACAATGATGACAACATGGTGAGTGTTTAGTGATCATGTGCATTAGAAATCTGAGGTGATCTTGTTCTATTGCTGTAACGTGAGAGTGAGGCCTTACCAATGAAATGCAGAGCCTGTGGGATCCAGGGCAGCAGGTTATCCCACAGAGAGTCATCAATAGGAATGCGGAGATACCTGGAACCAGGCAGGAAGGAGGGCTGGGGGCTACAGCGACTCACACTCAGCACATAGGAGATACCCAGCGAGGCCAGCTGGTCCTACACACACACACACACACACACACACACACACACACACACACACACACACACACACACACACACACACACACACACACACACACACACGCTTTGTTTCTGCTGTACGAGAGTTCACAGTGAAACTTGGCTGTCTGTGCTCTACCTCACATATAACCTGTGATCGTCTCTGTGTACATATTAATAATGTTGGTAATTGTTTAGAGCACTTTTAACTTTATACTTCACTATTTTTTTATTTGTTACAAATTAAAGAATCACTCAAAGTGCTTAAGAAAAATATTTCACACGTAATTTGTGAAATATTTGAATTGTTTAAAAATAAGGTAATATAATAATATTGCACATGAAGTAATGATCTGCTCAGTAGGCAACAGATTTACGTGAGCATGCGCAGCTGTAAGTTCATGTTATTTAATGTCCACATCAGCCACGCGTGTGCTGCTGTGCTGTGTGAGAGCATTGCACAGGAGCTGTTATTGCGACATTATTATGTCTTTGATAGCGACAGCACGGGTCCTCTTCCTACCTGCGTCACGTCGCTCTCTGCTCCGAGGTAGAGTTGCGGTAGGATGACGGACAGCGGGGGCCGCTCCATCTCTCTGTCCCGAGACAAGACCATACCTGCAGCACCACAGGCGACACCCGTAGGAAAGAAATCCGCTGCGTGAAACGTCCTGTGACCAGTTCTTAGAAGACAAACATTCAAACAGTGTGCGTTTCCTCTTTTGCACGACGGTGCATCCGTGCTGTATCCACGCGTACTTACTGAGGTGTCAGCTGCTGCGCTGCAGCGAGGTCCTCCTTCCTCCTCACTGTGTTCCTCACACTGGATTCTCAACGATGAGCTCATCAACTTTCCAACAATAGTTCTGGACTGGATGATGTCATTTTCAGCCAATCACTGCGCCGCCGCACTTTCACACGCGCAGACGCAGCTGTCCGTGGGGCCGCCTCAGCAGCACAGACACCAGTGTGAGTGCTGCAGCACATGACGTTCACTCCAGTCACATCTGGCCTGTGTACTTACTGCAGTAGCGGCTTTGACCTCCTGTTTGTGTTACTGCTGCTGTAGTGGAGCAACCGTGACCCATATGATGTCCCTGAGGATGAACAAAGTATCCTGACAGTGCAACACATCTTACTGCACATGAGACTGAGAGGCTTTGATGGCGGATAACCAGCCGAGGTTTGCCTGTCCGCATGCTGCTAACTGCTCCCCCTCTGGTGTTAACCTGCATTCTTCTACTCTTTACCACCTTTCTATGCTAATTTAAACCATGCGGATTGGTTTGCAGCATTTGATGGTTCTGCACAGCATCTTAGCTGTTCCTGGTCTGCACTCTGTGCCCTGAAGATGTGCAGGTTCCTAATACTACTAAGACCTAAGATCTCCTCACGTTGTGAAAGGTATCCCAGCTTGCATCCTATTACTACACTGAACCGTCTCTGGAGCATCCTTTGCACAACCAGCCTGAAACGTGGATCCTGTTGACAGCCTCCGTGCTGTAGATCTACCTTTTCTAGCTACTGATAAGATTTCTTGATGTCAGGCACTTCTCCCGTCTGTCATCATCTTCATTGTGATTGCCCTGCAAGATACTCGGGTACTTGTAGCTGTGCTGTATACCCACTTACTTTTGCTTCGGGCAACTCTAATCCTCCAGCCTGGATCCCATTTCCTTGCTTTGCCGAACATGTCCGGTCTGAAGGATTTCTGCACGTAGACCCAGGGTAAGTAAGTTACTGCTGTTAATGAGCTCGATGTCAAACATGTACAGAGTAGGTTTATCAGCTCTTTGGGGTGACCTCTCAGTAACCAGGAAACGGGCAGACCATCACAGACCCCTCACACCCTGGACACAGACTCTTTGACCTGCTGGCAGACGGTGCAGAAGCCTGCAGACCAGGACCCCCCGACACAGGAAGTTTCTTTCCCCTCGCCATCTCCCTCCTAAACAGTTAAACTGTCACACTG